CCCACCTGAGCTGGGAACCAGCTGTTCCAGTTCACGCTGGGTCCCTCTTGCTGCACTTTAACCTTTTAAAAGGCAGAGTTGCAGTGGGGTTAGCTCCCAGGGCTGGAGCTAACCCCACTGTGGCTCCCTTGCTTATTGACTAAATTTAACATCCTTACTCTGGAAAGCTCCAGTGCACTAAATTTATTTGTTAGTGTTTAAAGTGGCACCAGACTCCTTGATGTTTTTTCATTGAAAAGTATTCTTAGGGATAGAAAGTGGAAGGGTTTTAGGACTCCCATACTTAGACCTAATGCTCTAATACCCTTATAAATTGGTTAAGTCTTTTAAAGTGCCATTGGACTCCTGGTTTTGCCTGAAACAGACTAACATGGCTACCTCTCTGAAACCTTTCTATGAAAGTATCTGCTACTTGTTAATTTGCCCTCAGTAATATCAATGAAAGGGTTACTGTCACATTGAGATCCAATAAGTTAAAAACATTGTCAAACTATAGTTACTATATGTGCCCAAGAGTCTCCTTGCCAATTTGTGGTTTTACAGTATTTTTTCTCTTTCCTATTCCTGAAGCAAAAGATCCTCAGAAATGAGAAAATTAACTATGCACAAAATGCTGTCAAATGCACACAATAAAAAATTTGAAAGATGTTTTGTCTATTCTTTCAGTTGGAGTAATTTTAGTTGTTATCTGTACATAGTGAACAAATTTTGAAGTAGTATTTTTTTTAAATCAGCGTCCCTTTAAAATGTAAATATAGAGAGACAATTTAAATAGAGAAACAATGTTATGGCTTTTACCATTACATAAATAAAACCACTGTGAGACTCATACATTAGTTCATAGGAGACTAAAAATAAATGTTTGCGAGATTACGAATAATCCAGTTATACAGAGAATATCTTGTATCAATTCCAAAATAGAAATATGCAATTAAATTCTTTACAACTGAAATGTAATTAGTTACTACACAGAGTCACTGATTTATAAATACTTTAAAACAATTATAAATAATTCCTCTATTTTTAATAAAGTACCTCCTTATTAGTGTTTCTTAAAAACAGACAAACTACACATTGGAATAGCAGACAAATATTCCACTGGTTCAAACTCTTACTTTTGTTATAATCAAAATTTACCTGCAAAATAATCATTTGCTTTGTGTTATGCTGTAGCAAAGTTCTAATGGCCCTGTGAAAAAGTCTATGCGTGAGAAGGCTGTGGAACGGAGAAACGTTAATAAAGAACACAACAGTAACTTTAAGGCTGGATACATTCCAATTGATGAAGACCGTCTCCATAAAACAGGCTTACGGGGGAGGAAAGGCAACTTGGCCATTTGTGTGATTGTTCTCCTTTTTATTTTGGCTGTCATCAATTTGATTGTGAGTATAATACTTAGGCTAGAAGAGACATTTGGCCACGCTTGTTTTAATTTTGAGTATTAAATATAAACCTTCTTTAGCATAGGTCAGAATATTCTAGAAAGCAAATCTTAAAGTGTATTAAGGGTGATGATTTTTTCCCCTGCCTTTCCTGCTTATTTGTAGCATCAACAAATGATTTCAAAGTGTTTTGTTGTTGGTTTTTTAGTAGCAAGAAGTCTCTATTTTTTTGTCTTTTTCTTAGTATGACTAAATAGAGCAATGATTTTTTTTCTCCATTTGCTGTATTTCTTTCCAGAGTTGTCTGTTATTAAAATGGCATCAAAACATTCCAAGGTGTGTTACGGAGACTAAAAAGATAATGTTCCTGCCATAAAGAGCTTAAACTCTAAATCTTATTTTTACATATTCTCATCTAAGAGACCACCTGTATCACTTATACAACAGAGCCTATGCCTCTATTATTAATCAGGAACAGGAATTCTTTGGTTATTCCCCAGTCAGAGCTGTACATGAGAAACAATGCAAAATATCACCAGTGCAACATTTCAATACAGTTATTCTTATTGTATCTAATGAAGTGATTTCAAGCCATCAGGATCACAGGAAAGCTATATAGTCACAACTGAACTGTCCATTAGTTTTCAGAAATCATCCTGTACAATCTGCACTCTGATTTGCTACTGTAAGTCATTATTTTAATTAGGGATATTAGCGGCTAGCTGGCTAACTGTTTAACCAATAAGTGTTGCTTATCAGTTAACAGTCCCAGTTAACTGCAGCAACCCTCTGCTTCCTGGGCATGCTCTGCGTTTTAAACTCAGACTGGCAGAATGGCTCAATCCCAGCCCATTGGTCTGAGTTTTAAACAAAGAGCATTCAGGGGAGCTGCCCGCCACCCCTCCCTGGAGCCTCTGATAGAGCGTGGGATGGCAGGCGGGAGCTGGTCCATGTGGGGAGCTGGGGTTTGCCGCTCTGCGCTGTTGCCTCTGATACAGTGTGGGGCAGCAGCAGCCCCTGTGGAATGCAGGAGCAGCCTCTGTCCATGGGGAGCTCGGGTTCCCCACAGGCAGAGACTGCTGCCATCCTGTGCTGCTGCCTTCGATATAGAGGCAGTAGGGCAAGGTTGCAGGAGGCTCCCTAGGAGCAGCGCTGGGAGCGCACTGGCTGCTGGCCCTGCCCCTGAGGGAAGAGCATTTTAGTAACCATGTAACCACTAAAAATTGCTGTGGCTACACGATTACTAAAATAAACAATTTTAATACCCACCTTTGCTTCTTATTTCCTTCAAATAATAAATTATTTCTCGTAGTTAGGCATTTCAGTATACCAGGGGTGGGCAATAAATTTTAATCGGGTGCCACTCCAAGATTTTGGCAAGTGGTTAAGGGCTGCATTTCTACTGAGGGGGTTTAGGGTCTGGGACAGAGGGTGCAGAAGGGAGCTTGGGCTAGGCAACTGGGGTGCAGGAGGGGGTGTGGAGTTTGGGTGAAGTTGAGAGCTGTGATCTGGGACAGGAGAACGGGATGCAGGGTCAAGGAGGGGGTATGGGTTCTGGCCTAAGAGAGGGTCTCTAGGCGGGGGTGCAGAGTCTGGGAAGGAGTTGTGACCTGGGTGAAGGGGGTGCAGAAGGTTTGGATAATAACTTGGGGCAGGGGAATGGGGTGCAGGATCAGGGAGGGGATATGGGTACCAGAGAGGATTCTGGCCTGGAGGAAGGGTGTAGGAGAGGGCACAGAGTCTGGGAAGTAGTTGTAACCTGGGGGAAAGGGATACAGAGACTTTGGGTGGTAGCTTGGGGCAGGTAGTTGGAGGGAAGGAGAAAGCCAGAGTGTGCCAGAGACAGGCTCTGGCTGGGGAGTGCTTACCTAGGCAGCTCCCAGTCAGCAGCCCTGTAGGAACCTGAAGGCTGCAGTCACAAGCTGCTCCACATGGATCTGCTCCTATCAGGGTGAAGGAGCGGGAGGGAGAGAGGAGGCTTTGTTGGCTGTCCCTGCTGCCAGCAAAATCTCTCAGCCACTATTGGTCAGAAACTGGCCAGTGGGAGCTGAGAGATTCTGCTGAGGGGCAGGGCAGAGCACAAA